TACTTTGTGCATCTTGCTTTCATACACAAATAAATTAGAGACAAAAACAAATAATTAGTTTGAATAAAAAAATTCAAGCAGTATTTTCAGCAAATACAAATAAGGTTTGACTTATCAAGATTAGAGAATTTAACATAACTTTTTCAAAAATTATATTTAGACTTTTAAAACCTTTTATCTACACCTAAATGGTGTACCCATTTACCCATTTTACCAAATTATGCACTACACACTTGTACGCTGGATGATAAACAAAATATAAATGAAAGTTTGGCTCGCTAAATACAATATATAAATAAATTGTATCTTCAAGCAACAAATCTTTTCCAAAATATCTAATTCCACTTTGATGGAATTTCGTTTAATTCATTTTTTGTTTTCAATTATACTAAGTTTGTGCTTCCATTGGTGACTTTCAGCACTTTACATATTTAAGAATTATGAAACATTCCAATGAGATAAAACTGATCATCGCATCACTATTCACTAGAAAAATGGAGTAAAATTATTTAATTTATTTTTGTTGTTCGTACTGTTTTTTTTTAAATTTAGTACTTAATGTTTTAGATCACTTATAATGAATATACATTTACAAGTACATTTTAATCCCTAAAAAAGCAACATTTAAAAATACTGCTACTTTAACAAGGACGAAGAAAAAAAGGAGAGATCTGCATAGTTTACCTTGGAAAATGTAAATATCAAAATAAATCTCGCTAAGTGCGTCAATGCGATCCAGTCGCTACTATTAGAGCCGTCCAGTTATTTATAGGGTCCAAGTGCACAAGATCGCTGATAGTTTTACAGTTATTTAGGTATATCTCGAAATGGTGTTCACAAGTAGAGAGATGATATCTCAATATTTCCGGTTAGGTCCAAGATGGCGAGTTGGCTTTATGCATGGATTGTTTTTAGAGCGTATGCAAATTGTGCGTATGAGAAACGTTAGAATTTAGAAACTTGCTTGATTGCAGCGGGCGTGAGAGACGCAGGTGGTCACTGATCGAATATTCAACAGAAAAAATGAACATTTTGGAGGGTGCATTAGCATAAGTTCCGAGTAATTCCGAATTAATTTATTATCCGCTCGTACATCCCACAAAAATACAAATGTAAAAGTTAGTTGTCGGTAACGTCTTGTATATCAATGGTAAAAGCGGTGACATTTTGACATATGTTGATTAATATTAATATCAGGAAAGCCCATCCTGTCGAAGCCGTTCCAACACCTTTCAACGAAGCTAACACCATCAGACACATCTTCCTCTTTAATTCAACAATAACGAATTCATTTCTGGTCCGCTTTGTACGGATGTAGATCGGCACTCACTCGCATATCCCACGATACCACAATTGCCTTCTTCCTCGCCCGACTCTTAATTAACCGTAAAAAACACTCTCGTGTCAGTTTTTCTAAATATTCCAGCGGAAGTGGAGCTTTTGCAATTTTAATTATACAGTTACGCCGATTTGGGTTAAATTCTCCTCCTATCTGCAGTCAATTAGAAAATTTACAATTTTCGCACAAGAGATTTCGACGCGAGATCAGACGGCCAACCTCACATGTCGATAAAACGCATCAACACTTGAACATTGGATGTTTTAAACATTATATGACGCTTGGCCGCTCTTCCGAAAATTCGCGCCTCAAAATTACATCGAGAAATGACAAGTCCAGAATTAATTTATTGACAATGCGAAATAAAGAACATCGTGATCTACGTATGTGGACAGCATGGGATTTTAATGCGGCGGTTCTCTGCAGTTCTTTCTGTTGCAGTAGGAATAGACTTTAGTAAATTTCGAAGTCGGCGATCGGCTTTAGAGATATTTAAGGAGACCGCCGGCCAAATGGATAATTTATTATTGTAAACTTCCAGTCAAAGTTTCTACATAATCATGCTGCATCTGTAATTTGTTGGAGACGCGGTGACATTCTAAATTATATTGTAAGATTCATTATTAGATTTGACTGCTCCGAAACATTTTTTATTACTTGCAGTTTTTTATTTTATGTATTTCATTGAATACCATCGGCTGTTGCCTTATAATCATCACTGAGGACGTAAAAACAATTCAAATTCCAGAGCAATAAACAAACTCGGTTAATTTTTTGTATTATTTATATAAACAAGCAGCGATCTACCTAAATACAAAAACTATCCTCCTATAGTTATTTAATTATCAAGTGCAAAATTCAAATTTTTACCTTCGAATTAAAAAGTACAGTTAGAGACACAGGATCCTTTTCTGTCAATACAAAAATTTGTGGTCTAAACCAATCTTTATTGTCAACATGACATATTTAAACGCCAATTTTTTTAAGTTTATACTTCGTATTCACGTCAATAAATGACACGTTAAAGTCGATCCCTTTAAAGTATGTACATACCTAAAGCCCATTTTAGAGATTATGTCAGTAGATTTACAGACCTGTTCGTAATTCTGTGTTCCTGACTATACCATAATAAGTTGATTTTTTCATTTTTATTTAAATCAAAGTGCTTGGATATCTGTCAATTTTTAAAACCCCAAAAATGTTGTGAAATTTCAGAGTGTCATTTGAATATTATTAAGTATCACTTCTTTGAAAATTGCAATCTTGCCAGTATGGCAGGTTTGGAACAGCTTGCTAAGCTTGACCAAATAATATTACGTATGAACAACGAATCATCAGAAACCCAGTATAAAATTTCTATGGAAAATAGTGCAGGTCAAAAACTTTTTTACCTTGGCAAAGTCTCCGGTCGTTTTAAACAAAACTTCTCATTCAAACTTTTCAACTTGAAAATTATAGATAATTTCAAAAATGAAGTAATTGATCTACAACGTCCTCGATCGTGTTGTTCGTGCAGCTGGGGCCTATCCTTAGAGATTTTAGCTCCACCTGACAGATTTGTGGGAAAAATTGAAGAAAAATGTAGTTTTTGTAGCACAAAATTTGGAATTAGAGATGCAACTGGCAAAAACGTTTTTACAATAAAAGGGCCCGTTTGTAAATGCTCTTCTAAAAATATCAAATTTAAAGTACTTTCGGCTGATGGGAAGACACAAGTAGGAATAATATCTAACCAAGCAGATACTAAATGTCTGAAATTATCATTTCTTAAAAATATGGATGCAGAAATGAAAGCTGTAATGGTAGCAGCTAGCTTGTTAATTTATGCTATGGTTTTCGAAGTGAATATAGATCAATTATGGCAAAATTGATACCCTCATGGATACTATGTTCCTTCCTAATCCTGTTGTAATATAAAATGCTTTTTTTTAGATTCAAATGACTTAATTTTTTTGTATTGTTTCAAATTCAATGTTTTTTCTTAAATAATACAGGGTGTTTCACACAACTTTACGAGGCTTGCGCCTAATGTACGCACCCAAATATACAAAATTCACAAAACATTGGACACAAAAAATACACATTTAATTATTTAATTTTTGAAAACCCATGACAGTAGTTGTCAAACTAATCACTGTTTCATTGACAGTCACAAACTGCAGTTTTTCAGAAACAATTATCATTTGTTTTATCAAGAGATGGCATGAATATGATTCTAGTTTATCTATCTTAATCACTAACTAACAAAAAACGTTGTAATAATCAAAGGGTGAACAAACTAGAGAAGGTTTTTTCAAATTTTTCAAAATTTGTAATCGAGTATATACCAGGTGAATAAAAAGTATGGAACGAAGCGTTTTTCTCGTAAACTAACCACTTTACAAAAAAAATAATTAGTGTAGCGTAAAGTCAAATTAAAATGTGACCATTTATCAAGAATAACATTTTTCGAAATTTTTTTTTGTTTTTAAGTTCTGGAAAAAAAATTTTTTTTTAAATGGCAACCCACTATGGTAATTTTTTTAATTAAAGATTATGATCTAAAAATGACCTCTAATTAAACAGAATTGTTTTCTAGTCAGTACTTTTTTTTAATAAATTGTTAAAGTTGCGTTCCGAGCCCATCACGAAGATTTTCCGAACTTGAACGAGGGAGTCGTTTCTTGACTTTGGTCGTTGGAGAGCCCGGTTTTTGGTGCAGGTGCTTTGGGGTGGTTCCGGATGGATCAATAAATGTAAAAAGAAATCATTTTCTTCTATTTTTAGTCCATTCGAAACCACGGACAGGACTATTTTCTGTCAATACAAAACTTGTGGTCTTTATTGTCAACATGACATCTTTAAATACCAAATTTTTAAGTGTATAAAGTCCATTTTTTTAAGCAATTGTCAAAGTGATATTGTCATGATGGTATCAGTCACTAGATATTTGATGTTATTACGTTTTCAACGCAAGCAACATGTCAGCTATTTTGTAATGAAGGCGCTTGCTTTAATGAAGCCGCAATTACTTTTAAAAAATAAAAAATACAACGTAAAGAATGCAGAAAATGGTGAAGGTGGAATTGGTTGGTACACTGGCGGACACGGAATTTTGGACGATTTGTCATTCGACTGACATAAAAATGTAAAACGGGCCTTAGGCAACTAACCTCACTTTCGGTTTTTGTAATTTTTGTCCTGGTAGCCAGAGAAAAGATTACACCAAATAAAAACCCGTATTGCTGGCATTCTTATTTCGGAAAATCGACGCCAAAAATAAATTTCAACTTAAAACTTTCAAATTTTAGTTTCAAACGTTAATCATAACGACAATAAAGCGTGGATTATATTGATATTTTTTGAACTGACATTTTGATGTCCAAAATTCCGTGTCCGCCAGTGTGTTAGAGTTACAGAAATATTTCTGTGAAGTTGAGGGTGGCAGGAATACGCTACCCAAAACAGAGGCCGTTTAGAACGAAACTATTTATCTCATATTCACGTCAATAAATGCCACGTAAAAATCGATCCCTCTGTTAAACTGTTAAAGCGAGGTTAATAAAGTGAAGTCCATTTTAGAGATGATGTCAGTAGATTGACAGTCATGTCCGTGTTCCTGACTGCACTATAAGATGATTTTATCAACTTTATTTAAAGTGCGTTAGACATCTGACAATTTTTGAAACGCCAAAATTTTGTGAAATTTTAGAGTGTCATTTAAATATTATTAAGTATCACTTCTTTGTAAATTGAAATCTTGCCAGTATGGCAGGTTTGGAACAGCTTGCTAAGCTTGACCAATTAATATTACGTATGAACGACGAATCATCAGAAACCCAGTATAAAATTTCTATGGAAAATAGTGCAGGTCAAAAACTTTTTTACTTTGGCAAAGTCTCCGGTCGTTTCAGACGAAACTTCTCATTAAAACCTTTCAACTTGAAAATTATAGATAATTTCAAAAATGAAGTAATTCATCTTCATCGTCCGTGTTGTTCTTGCAGCTGGGGCCTATCCTTAGAGGTTTTAGCTCCACCTGGTACATTTGTGGGAAAAATTGAAGAGAAATGTAGTTTTTGTAGCACAAAATTTGGAATTAGAGATGAAACTGGTAAAAAAGTTTTTACAATAAAAGGACCGATTTGTATATGCTCCTGTAGAAATATCAAATTTAAAGTACTTTCGGCTGATGGGAAGACACAAGTAGGAATAATATCCAACCAAGCGGATACTAAATGTCTGAGATTATCATTTCTTAAAAATATGGATGTGGGAATGAAGGCTGTAATGGTAGCAGCTAGCTTGTTAATTTTTGCTATGGTTTTTGACATAGATATAGATCAATTATGGCAAAATTGGTACCCTCAAGGATACTACTATGTTCCTAATCCTGTAGTAATATAAATTGCCTTTTTTTAAATTCAAATAACTTATTTTTTTGTATTATTTCAAATTCAGTGTTACATCTTAAATAATATATTAAATAAAATGATTAAGAAACTACAATTCTGAAAAAAAGGTAATGTTTTTCTGATTGTATTATTTTATTATGTAGCCACACCTAACAAAAAAAATTCTCCCAAAATCATGTCCTCAAAGTAGTCACAGCTACTCATAAATGTTTTTTTTTGCATACTCTCCCGAAAATAGCTGTTTTAGGGACTCATTTGAGTCCTTAAAATGAGCCTTTTCTGGACTGAATAAAATTAGTAGGTAAAATGGTCACTTTATGTACCCCAAAAACAGTTTTTCCGGACGAAAAACTCAATTTGGTTACTATGGTCGCGAAATTTTTTTAATTAATTAATAAGGGGTGTGAATTTGTTTTTTTAAGAACTGTAACAAAAAAATCTTGTATGTAACACGTTCCTAAAACGTTTTTGCGGACTTATCAGCTACTCCAGACTCGGTTTCGCCTCGACAGCAACGATTTGTTCGCAAAAACTGTATTTTAGGTACTTGTAACAAAAATAACTATTTTTATTTTGTGTATGCGATATTATAGTGATACGTATAATTTACCTAGGTATTGATTGAAATTTTGAACAGATCCTGTTTCGATCAACCGATTTAAACAATCTTAATGTTGATGAAAAAGTGAAGATTTTATCTGATAAATTATTCATATAAAAAATTAGATATTAGAATTATTTTTCCATGTTTTTACAACATAAAAAACATGATTCAATTATAGGATATAAAAAAATTTATAGAGTTCAATGGTTAATCATTCATCATATTTCTATTGGTCCTTAGGATTTTTTTATATTTGGATTTTGTCTAAGAGCCTAACCTATGAATAAAGAATACGAAAATCTTGCATTCAAAACAAATTGTTCAAGAAGTCATGAACAAGGCCTGACAGATATTTCACTACGACGGTGTGAGATCTATGTAAACAATGTTGTTAGATATACATCGTGTCATTTTAACCATTATTTTGTCACTTTTCATAATGTTTTTTCTGTATAAAATAGTGAAGTATTTTGGCTCTAAATTTGTCAGTAGACTCCAGTTATTACACAGATTCTTCTGTTACACACAAATCAAATGTTTTTGTCAACTTTAAAAACATGTGCTATCTAAGCGGCACATTAGATTTAAATTTCATAGGTGACTTGATGCACAATCATTTATAAGGACTCTTAGGTATAGTGACGCTTAAATTGTAGGTTTTATACCTTTACCTTCTGTTAAAAAATTATAAACGTGTAGTAACATGTAATAAATCTTTAATCTCATTAAACATCAAAAAATATCATTTAATGTCTTTCAGTTGGAGTAGGTGGGTTAGATATCTGTCAATTTTCACAACCCCAAAAATTTTTGAAATGTCAGTCTCATTTAAATATTAACAACTGCTTCATTGAAAATCAAAGATCTTGCCAGTATGGCAAATCTGGATCAACTTGCTAGGGTTGACCAGTTGATAATGCGCATGGAAGACCAGTCATCTGAGACCCGTTATAAAATTATTGTGGAAAATAGTGCAGGCCAAAAACTCTTTTACCCTGGCAAAGTCTCCGGTCGTTTTAGCCGCAACATTTACCTCTCATTTCAAGCTTTCAATCTAAAAATTTTAGATAATTTCAAAAATGAAGTGATTCATCTACACCGTCCTGCATTGTGTTCTTCGCTTAGCTGCGGTTTATTCTTAGACCTATACATTTTAGCACCGCCTGACACATTTGTAGGAAAAATTGAAGAAAAATGTAGACTTTGTGGCCCAAAATTCGGGATTAAAGATGCAAGTGGCAAAAAGTTGTTCACAATAAAAGGACCGTTTTGTATATGTTGTCCTAAAAATATCGAATTCAAAATACTATCGGCTGATGGAAAGACACAAGTGGGAATAATTTCCAAACAAGCACACACTAAATGTCTGAGGATATCCTTTCCTAAGGATATGGATGTAAGAATGAAGGCAGTTATGGTAGGAGCTTGCTTTTTAATTTTGGCTGCGTTCTCCAACGTAAACATAGATCGATTATGGCAATACCATTATTCTTAAGGTAAATGAATTTTTACTTTGGTATGTAAACATTATTAGTGAGTATAACTTAGTTACTGATTGTGAAATTGCTCTTGGCCGATAACGTCATCGCAACTTAAGCTTTTGTAAATGCTGTTACAATATTTGGATTACTGGTAAATATCTGTAAACATTTTTTTTAACAAACAATCTTTAAATTTCAACAATTTCTGAAATGAACAGTACACCTACAGTAATCACATTGTTTTAATATTTGCTTTTAAATTATTTTCTTTAAATGCAAAAACAATAGTTTATGGTTTTCTTTAATTAATTTACTAAAGTTTTGCCTTTTCTTATATTTTGCGATTTCATATTAAACTATGAGCTAACCAAATATTTAATTATACAAATTAAAAAAAATACACCAATTGCTTTTTGTATTTATTTTATTATTATGAGATAATGAATGAATTTCAAATGAAAGATTTTAACCTGATTTTTTAGTTACTTTGTGCTCTTCCTAAACATATATTGATTGTTAAAGTAGAAAAATAAAAGATAAAAGACGTGGATTTAATCTTTTTTACCGTTCTTCTTTACACTTTATAACGGAAAAGCCTTATTCTAAATGAAAAATAAGTGCTTTGTAATTAGAATAAACCAGAAGTAGGAAATTAATTTATTATATAAAAAATATTCCCACGAATCGCTGAAAAATGCATGACTTTTATCAGATTTTCATTCAGAAAAATGAATATGTAATGTAAACATTCCAGCTATAATTGCGTCATTTTCAGGATGTAAAAGCGGTAAACATGAATGACGAAAGTGGAGACTCATTCGGGATTAAGTGATTTTTTTGAGAGGTTTGTTTGTGTGTATTGGTCGAGGAGAATGAATAAAATAGGTGTGTAATTAAATAATGATATATTTCCCAATGATGACGTAATAACACTAAGTATTTACAATTGAATAGCCGATAACTAGAGTAGGTACTATCATACATAATTTACAAACTTTGGTTTTTTGTAAGAAATCTCTTTCACATAATTAAATAGGTATATAAACAGCTTAACCTTAGATCCTATTTAAGTTTCTGTGAACAAATATTGGTAAAACACTGAGATAAAAGTTTTCATAATAATATTAAGTGACGTGTCTCGCGCTGATTGTCATTGTTTATTTATTGTCTCGACTTGATACAAAAATAGCCAGTCTTAAATAATATTGTACAAAACATATAATCATCTCTATGCATACAATAATTTACACTAAACATAGGGTAAAATTTACACCAACTTTGTATATAATATCATGATAAGGCACTCTGCGAAAGTAACAATTAACACAAAGAGAATAAAGATCTCGTCGGAGTATTTAAAGCATCTGTTTGCGCACCACTAAAATTATTACAAAACCGTAAATTTAATAACCTAATCCGAAATGGAAAATTAAACATCACACTTGTGTACAGTGGAATTTACTCTAATCCGAAATTTTTAGGTTAAATTATCTTCTTGACGTCAACAATTCAACAACAACTGGCCATAAAACAACAATTCGAATAAAACTAAACTCTCAAATTGCACTGTCAGTTACTGTAGCACGTCTTCCGGACGTCCGCCAGAATCTCACTGAAATCGTCATCGTTCTTCGCGACCACGCCGTTCTGACCGATATCGTACACCTCGGGGTAGTGCCCCAACAAGGGCTCAGGCTTAACACTCGTGTTAGGCAAAATCACAGACGTATGCTGGGCTTGGAAATTGTAAGTCACGTTCGAATTGATATTGTCGTTCCTGTGGTAATTGTGATTCGAATCGATCATATTTGATTCGGTATTGCCAAACTTGAGGTACTTGTCGAACTCTCGAGTGTCAACATCGCTGTCCACGTCACTCCTCTCTTCCTGACCCATGTATGACTGTACTAGGGTACTACTGGAGTACTGCGGTTGGTACGACTCGTCCAAACCCCCGGATTTATAACTGTTCATATTTTCATTCACAACGTCGGATTTGAGAGGACTTTGATAAGTTAGGAACGTGTCTGGCTTGGTTTGGTCTTGTTCATACCCAGTGTTGGTATTAGAGTAGTACTGTTGCATCGATGTGTTATAGTAATGTAAATTCGTGTTATTGGCAACCGTGTTGAGATTGTTTTGGTTAGTACCCAAAAGTTGTTGGTCTTGGGACGTAGCCACGGGTGGGTAGAACGTTCCAGTGACCACATGCCCCTGTTCGACTGAACTCTTATTAGCACTCATCACATACATCCCATTAGCCATTGGTACCGAAGTGATCGGTTGGATGTTAGTATAATTGGTACTATTAGGTCTGTAGTTTTGTACTCTCGTGTTGTAGCTCTGTTGTGCCGGATTAGTTAAATTACTTGTATGTTGTATACTTGACACTCTTTTTTCCTCAAACTGTTCATGCTCCATTGGACTCAGTTCTGGTGTAGGAAGAGACGCATCTTCTCGTGGGCTATCTTTGCTACATTCCTGCGGACTATTTGGTCCTTTCTTCGGCTCGGGACTATGTGTGGGAGACGCATCTGGCGTTTGTATCGAATAAGGACTTTTCTGGTAGTTCTGGTACCCCACATAGTTGTACTGATTGTGGTACTTGTAAGTATCCGGACTATATCTCTTCTCCTGTGATTGGAACTCGGCAGTCCCAGGACTAGGAAAGTCCATTGCGTAGCTATTCTGTTGTTGGATATTCGGCGAAAGACTCGCGTTTGGAATGTACCCCGCGTACCTCGGCGACATGTTGGGTAAACTCGGACTGGGTAAGGAAGTGCCGACGCGAGGACCTCCGGCACCGGAAGTGGCCCTCTGCTTGTTGTGTTTCCGCCGTCGAGGTCTGTACTTGTAGTTGGGGTGTTCAGTCATGTGAATCACTCTCAGTCGTTCGGCTTCTTCGACGAAAGGCCGTCTGTCTTGCGGCGTCAAAGAGCGCCACTTCTTGCCTGCAAACAAAAAAGTTTTTCAGAAATGTCGTTCATTCATGGGTCTGGACGCGTGGGTGGACGTGGACCAATAGCAGCGCCGAAAAGACGGGCTAGTTAATGAGAAAATATGACCGGTGAGATGACAAATGCGTCGTTAAGGGGACTATTCATTGTCGCGGCCAAATTCGGTTTTTATTTTGATCGGAGCGAGAGGATGTGTTTAAACACCTCGGTGAGAATATAAATTAATTGCTCATCATGTTTATGCATGCGATAATTAAGAGAGCAATTTATTAGTACAGTTTCGCTAGAGTACTGCGCCTCGTATAACAATCTGATATCTCACATCGTTATCTGCTGATTTATCATTTATTAAGGATTAATACTGGTCGGTGTTGTTTACTAATTTTACACTATCTGCACGGATCTGCTTTGCAGATCTCGCGTGAAATTTGATTTATGAGCGCTCAAAACGAATATTTATGGACTAAACGGCCAGTTTATTTTCCTCGTTGATCACTTAATTTAGAAGAACATCAGATAAATAACCACTTGAATTGTATTTTTTGTATACGCTCCCAAAAATGGCTATTTTGCGGACTTATTTGAGTCCCCAAAATGAGTCTTTTCCGGACTCAATAAAATAGTACGCAAAATGGTTATTTTAGACACTCAATGAGTCCGTAAAAACAGTTTTTGCGGAGTAAAAAATAAAATTGGTTACTATGGTAACGAAATTTTTTAATTAGTAAGAGGTGTGAATTCGTGTTTTGGAAGCTTTAACAAAAATATCTTGTATGCACCACGTACGCAAAAGGTTTTAGGTGACTCCTCTCAATAATTACGATTCGTCCCCTAAAACCCTACTTTGTGTACTTGATACATAAATAACCATTTTACAAACGCGAATATCAGTTAATTTTTAATCAAAAAATTGAAATTTACCTCATTTAATGGTTTTGTAATCAAGTCAAACGTTTTATAATTTCAAGCTTGATTGACAAGTTTGAAATACTTCAAGTTTCAAAGTATCTAAGTGCTCGGAATGTGACTCTCAACTATTTTGTTATTTCATTTTAAAACAAGTAACTTTACGTGTTGCAATATGTGTTCACCTCACCTTAGAAAATAACTGAATTGTCTAAGTATAAACTTTCACAAAAATCTAAATTTCGTTTATTAATCGCTGAAATGATATGAATGAGTTATAAGATCTTCAAGGGGGTAGCAGCAAGACAATATGCAGATTTCAAAAATGGTAGCTTAAGTAAGAGCTAAGAGTAGCTATGAAAACAAAGCACCTGTGTTATTTTATTTTCAGTGGGCTACTTTGTATAAAAAAAAATAATTCTAATGAAAAAGCCTCTTTCACAGTTGGTTCGGAACAATATTGTAAAAGAAACAGACAAAATATTTCATAACATAGCGGTTCAAATATCGGTTATCTTCAAATGAAGAATGTTGAAATTAATTACTGAAGGGCTGAAATTGATCATACTCTTGTTGTACATATACGATATTTTGTACGTTTCAAAAGATAAAAATTCAGTAAATTAATAAAGTCAATACATAATAAAAGAAAGCTTTCAGTAATAATTTCGGAAAGCATGTGAAAATTTGTTTTGTTATCTAATAAAAAACTGCGCACATTTTGATAAGTATATCCAGAACTGGAGTTGATGGCGATTCGTATGGAACCATTATATTATTAACCTTAAACGACATACTCGTAGGTCCATATTCTTAAAAAACTGCAACTAATTGGAGAAAGCTTCGTCGTCAAAAACATTATTTCTGGACGCTAACATTTTTGCAAAATTTTTTAGTGATGAAAGATAAAAAAAGAAATATTTTCATAACAGTGAGCATCTAATAAGGTAAATATTACGCTCTGCATGAATAGCTACCTGCAATGCAGCTAATGTTAAAATATTTGCAAAGACGGGTATGACATTAAATTTTTGTTGAGGCACCCCAAAATAAATGCCGTAGAAACATGTCACAATATTAAAAAATGTAATTTGCAGTCAATTGTGGGAGTTTTTGGGTAATGAAAAGCTTATAAAATGCTTTGAGAGATAAATAAAAACCATCAATATATTATGTATTTGTGTATTCATATTAAGTAGACATTAAATTAACTGTACATCCGGTGCAAAAATCTGCAAAATTTTAAGAAAACTATGGGACTACAATTTACAGTTACGTTTAATATTCAAGAAGTGTGACCATTTACTTGACCCATTCCGGAAGTCAATTTTCAAGAAATGTTCCAAAAATTTTAAGAATTCCGTGTTCAGGTCGTGCGAGAAGCTAAAATCGGTAATAAAACCCAAGTACTTTTTTCACTAAAAAAGACTTTTAGTCTTAAATGAAATTCAAATGTATTCTAATTAAGACTTGGCCACGAGTAAATGTACGTTGTTGTATGTTTATGTAAAAATGCCAAGCGTGAATCAGCGAAACTAGAACCAGTAAGTTTTAGTTTAGAACGGACACGTGTTTCGTGATTCCAACTGACATCATCGGAAGTAAGTGCTAAAGCGCCGACAGGAATATTTTTCCGGTTGGGGCATTCGGGAATGTGTTTTTCGGCCGCGGTTATTCCAAAGTCGAGTTTTGAATCAATATGTATGAATTTTGGCATGGCATTTTCGCGGTAGCTATATGAATATTCTCTAGTTCTTAGAACGGTGGGTTTTAGTTATGCTAAGTTGTGATAAAGCGTCTTTCGACGATCTTGTCGGCCGTCCCATTCCGTGCATCGTTAACAATTCACAATTTGGTCTAGCCTTCGAGTCATCGACTTGACCAGACCACTAGAAAAAAATAGTTATGTATTAACTGTACATCAGTTCGGCTTAAAAAGTATGTTCCACCAACACGGTTTT